AGTGAATTTCCTTTACCAAACTGGTGTGGAAATCAAACTGGTGTGGAAATACACTTGACCCTGAATAATACAGGGGTTAAGAGAGCTGACACCCGCACATCATACAGTCAAAAATTCACATATGGTCCAGCTAGCATGGTTCAGTGGTTGACCATGAACCTATGAACCAGTAGGTCATGGTTCAATTCCCGGTTAGGGCACATAGCCAGGTTGTAAGCTGTGGGCTTGATCCCCAGTGTGGGGTGTGCAGGAGGCAGCCAATCAATGACTCTCTCATCATTGATGTTTCTGTCCCTCTCTCCTTCTCCCGTCCTCTCTGAAATCAATAAAAATATATATATATTTTTAAAATCCACATATGACTTTAAATGCCCCAAAAACTTAACTACTGATACCCTACTGTGGACCAGAATCCTTACAGATAAAATTAACAGTTGATTAACACATATTTTGTATGTTATATGTATCAAATACTATATTCTTATAATGAAGTAAGAACTTAGAGAATAGAAAATGTTATTAAAAAAATCATAAGGAAGAGAAAATACATTTATGGTATTTCCTGAAAAAAATAATTCCACATCTAAGTGGTTCCACATAATCTAACCCGTTTCAGGGTCAACTGTACCTGGTTAAGCATAATCATCAACCAGAATGCCACCTTTCTACTTAGCAGTGACAATTCTACATAGTTCATGCTACATCTGATGCCGCACCAAGATCTGCCCTGAGGAGTTTACACACATGGCTATTACAGCAAAAGCTGATTAATGAACACACCCTTTTGCAGCTACTTCCTTAGAGGCTGCAGAATTGCACAGTAAGAATGACAACATGGTCAAACTGGGTTTTTCCAAAGATGCACACATGTATACAGAGAAGTTCAAACTGAGAAAATGAAGAGAGGGAAATCTTAATGCTCGGAAGTGCAAAATCCTATCTTAACACAGTAATGTAAGCTGTGACCATCTCCTCACCAAGAATTTGTGTGTAAATGCTCTGTAAACATTAAAACCAGCATGAGTTTTAGGTATGTTATTATTAGGATTCCCACTATTCATTCTCTAAGAAAAAAAAAAAAAAACTTCTTAGGAACTGCAGCAAATTATGAGGGACAATATATACTTCAAGGAGAATATTAATATTAAGACTGTTTATTCTTATTTATAACATTATCACACTTCCTAACATAATTTAAATATAATATTTCACCAATATTGCCTCCTAGAAGTGACAATTTCATCACTAAAACATAAATGAAAATAGAAATAAGTACTTACTCACAATACCAAACTGTCCCCAGAATAGAAGTACAGCCAACATTGGGAAAATAACAATAAGGATATTTTCATTTGGAGAAAACCATGAAACTGGGGAAAAAGAAAACAGAAATCATGATTAATATTTACTATCACAACTTTAAGTCCTGCTAATTGATAGTCAATTAACTAACTGCTTAAGTGTTTTCCACCACATTTCCCCTAAGCTGTGATTTATGGAAGGAGGTAGCATACCCCAACTGAGAACAGGACTCCATAGCCCCACTGCCTGGGTGTGAAACCCAATTCTAACTTACAATCTGTGTGACCTTGGACAGCCTAACAACTCTCTGTTCCTCAGCTGCTACACCAGTACAACAATTAGTGACATCCTGAATGACTATTGTTAATTATTAACAAAGTTAAGATATGAAAAGAGCTAAAAACAAAGCTTGACTCCTCAAAGGGCTCAGTGAAGATTAACTACAGTTATTATTATGTCCTCCTACAGTGACTGCCTGTATGTGTAATGTGCCAAGAATTTACCTTAAAGCAAGAGTTGTCTTCCTGTAAAGGCTGACTCAGGGGACAGAAGTGAGGAAGTAGTACAACTGAGCACCCTATCATTGATCTTACTGTGACCTAAGAGTAAGACAGATGTGAGCCTAAGCTTTTCTGAAACTTATTCTGGAACAGAGGATGAATTTGTAAATAATTACTCTTAAAATGACTGTTGACAAAAAGTAACATGAGGAGCTTTAGGTAGTAAGGAAGCTTCTATCAAGTGAAACGTGTTATCCAAACAGTGAAAATGCAGCTATCCATCCTATAGAAAGGAAATTGTGATATTAAGACTTCTAATGAAATTTTCTGAGAACTTTTAAAAATTATGTTTAATTGCATCTGATCAATGCTTAAGGCTATATTTTTAATGATGAAATATCTCCTGTAACACTAAAGCCAGATATACGCACTGAAAGCCTTTCAGAGTTGGCCTAGACTGGAGGACTTGCTGGGTGAGGAAAACTTCTGAATAGTGCACAAGGCAAGCACTGGCGTTGTTCTGAAATGATCCTTTTCAAATCCTCCACTGCATTCCTGTGTGAGGAATCTTATGGACTTTCACACCACAATGCTACTCACACATTTCTTGTGTTAAGCTTATAATGCTAAACTCTGGTAAAGGTTCATAATCATCCCCAGAATAGAACAACACTATCAATTCTTATCTTCGAAATAGTAGCTTTCCAGATTCCAACATTTTGCCTGTACATGGCAGAGACTCAGTAGGTTTACTATTGATGGTAGAAATAGTCATAGGACAGTTTAGTGAGTGAATAGAAGACAGGCTTTTGTGATGGTTGCAGATCCACCAAGAGACTGATTTTTTCAGGTACCCTGAATCAATGCCACTTTAATTTCCAACTGAATTACTGAATCTCTTCCTATACCAAAGAAAGCCCATTTCCATTCAGTCTAAAATCCTACAGGAAAAACCTTTCTGAGTTTCCACATGCCTGAAGGATCTGGTAAAAACTCCATGATTTAATGACTATTAGTCAACTTCTTTTCCTCTACCACTTTATTATTTTGTTTTGAGTTGGAAACATTAACTTATCAAACCCTTACAATTATTAGGTGATGAATTATGAACCCCTCCTTACCACTGAGAAAACTGAGGCTGAGTGAATTACGGATTTTAAGTTTACATGTCCCAAACTGACTCTTGATACCCCTCTACCCACCCTCACCATACCTCTCCCTCTTGGTTTTTGCCATCTCAGTAGTGGTAACTCCATTTCTCCAGTTGTTCAGGCCAAATATCATGGAGTCATCCTTGACTACTTGGTTTCTCTCACACCCAACATCTGGTTCCACAGTCAATTCTCTGGGCTCTACCTTCAAAATACAGTCAGCATCTGATCTTTTTCTCAAGATCAGCTGACAATGAAATGTTCTTTCACTGGCTTCTCTCCCTCTACAGGAAACAATCTTCAACCACCTTAGGATCTATTATTGAAAATAAGAGGAATATTTGGCCCTGGTCTGGCCACTCATTTTGCACTTATTACACAAACATTTATTGAAAGCCCACCATGGCTAGGATACTCTTCTGGGTATTTGAGGTCCAGCAGTGAACAAGGTAGATGGGCCGATGAGCTTGAGGAATGGGAATGGGTGATGAACAGACCCTTGTATGTAGTAAGGAAAGGCCTCTGGGGAGAGGAACTGGATCCAAGCCTTTAATGAGAAGGAGCCTGGTATGAGAAGACAGAGAAGAAGAGACTCCAAAGGAAGAGCAATCAATTGTGGCTAAAATTTAGTGATACAAAATGAGTGATGAGAGATGGGAAGAGTTTGCTGGGGCAAGTTCATGTTAGGTCTTAAGAGCATGTTAAGAGAGTTTGTATTTTACTCTAAAAGCAATGACAGTGATTGGAAAGGCTCAAGAAGGGAAAAAAAAATGACCTGATTTATTAAAAATCTTCATTGGCAGCCATGTGGACATTGAATCCAAGAGAAGTGGGACCTATCAGAAAGTTACTGTAGCCATCTCATAGAGGCAGGAGCTAGGACATGGCCCACAAATGCAGTTCTGATTCAGTCTTACTCATCACATTTTTTTCTTTATTGATTAAGGTATTACATATGTGTCCTTATCTCCCCATTAACCCCCCACCCCCACCCCACTCATGCCCTCACCCCCCTGGTTGATAAACAGGGAATCATTACAAAGGAAGATGACTGGAATGGGGAATCCTGAAAACAAGAGCAAGAGTTAAAAGAACTGGGCATTTTTTCCTTAGAGAAGAATAAACTTGGGAGAGAAACACTATAGCCCTCCTAGTAAGTGAGAACTTACAGGGTTGCAAACTTTAGCTTGACGTAGAACTGGAACGGCCTGATAAGAGACTTTTAGGAAGTAACAGTCTCATCATGCCAAGCATGTAGGTAAAAGGTTTGAATGACCAATAACCTAGGGTGTGATAGAAGCAATTCCTGAATTAGATGGCAAAATAGCCTAGATGACTCCAAGCCTCTGTGCAGAAATAAGTGTGAGAGATATTTCAATGACAGAAGAGGGTAGGATTACAGAACACAAAATATGGTCTAAGTCATTCTTAAATGAAGCCTATCAGAATCACCGGGGGTTTATTACTCTCAAGTCTCAGATTCCACCCCAAGATTTTAATATATTCCCCATGGTAAGTGTATGTGTATGCTTGTATGTTTGAGGGGAGAGGGGAGCAGGTGGACGGTGTTGCCTATGATTCTCTCAGTTTAAAATCACTGCTACAAATCTCTGCTGTAATTCACATGAATGTGATACTGTCTCTAATTTGTTAAGGTTAGAAGAGTTGGAGGATCATTGAATCGGATGTTCAAAAACCAAATGAGGTTGAGAAAACCAACGTTTCCTATAAAACCACTTATAGTCCCATTAAGCTATTGAGTTGGTGTGGTAATACTGTCAGATGACTATTACTCTTGTTCCCCAATGGGAGAAGAAGGCAAGATAGTTCTGTAAGGTTCCCTTGAGCTCTAAATTTCAATGGCACTAAAAATAAATAAATAAAGCTTAAAAAGGACTAAGAACAATATCAGTTAGTATTCCACCTCAGGATTAAGAAAAATAAACCAAGGGCATCTACGCTGTCATTCCACTCACTGTATACCTGACAACTGTGCCCATTACTCTCTCCCAATTCCTGGTCAGATAGAGTGGCTCCCTGGAATATAAACTTGTTTAGTGAAAAGGCAAAGAAATGTTATTAAGAGATCAATTAAATTTTGTTGCCAAGCTGAAGTATTATAAAAAACCACCATTTCATTTCTCTTACCACTCTGTACAAAATGGGATAACCAAAAAAAGTAAATATATCATGCCAATAAATTTAGTGGGCCTCTCTTTCAAATATATACAGGCATACCTTACTTTATTGTGCTTTGCTTATTATGCTTCATTGATGTTTACTAATTGAAGGCCAAACCTTCCACGAGCAAAAATATTACAGCTTGCTCTATCACATTAGTCATTTTGTTGTGGTGGTCTAGAACCAAACCTGCAGCATATCTGAGGTACGCCTTTACATGGTAAACCTTCACAAACACAGAGAGCATCAGTTTCAACAAAAGGTCACATTAAAAGTTACCCTAAAATTCAAGCCAAATTTTAACTTGACGTTTTAGGATTGTGATGGCTTTTCTGAGGCACTGAATTGGCTATACCCTCAGTTATTTCATCAAACCCAGAATCCCTGAAATCAGCCTTTTATAATTTCTTTCCCTTGGAGATAAGGAGGGACTGTGAATAGGATGGTTTTCATCCCCAGGATCGTTGTGTCACATGACCAAAGGGATTTTGCTTGGTGTGATTAAGGTCCTCAATCAGGTAACTTTAAGAAAGAGATTGTCCTTGGAGAGGGCTGACCTAGTCAAGTCAAGTGAGCCCTGGAAAGGATCTGTGCTCTTCCTGGCATAAGAAATCCAACATGGCCGAAACCGGTTTGGCTCAGTGGATAGAGCGTCGGCCTGTGGACTGAAAGGTCCCAGGTTCGATTCCGGTCAAGGGCATGTACCTGGGTTGCAGGCACATCCCCAGTAGGAGATGTGCAGGAGGCAGCTAATCGATGTTTCTCTCTCATCGATGTTTCTAACTCTCTATCTCTCTCCCTTCCTCTCTGTAAAAAATCAATAAAATATATTTTAAAAAAAAATCCAACATGTCACAAGGCTTCAATGAGAGGATCGTGTTCCTTTGCTGGCGTGAAGTGTGGAAGAGGCTGTATGACAAGGAATGAGAAACCTCTAGGATCTGAGAAAAGCCCACAGCAGACATCCAGCATAGAAACAGGGACCTCAGTCCTACAACCAGCAGGAACTAAATTCTGCCACAATCATGTGAGCTTGGAACGGGATTCATATGCGAATACAGCCTGGACAATGCCTTTCTTTTCGACCCTAGCCACACCGTGACCAGAACTGTGACCTATAAATCTGTGAGCTAATAAATGGGAGCTGTTTTAAGCTGGTGCATTTGTGGTTATTTGTTATACAGCATTAGAAAGCTAATATAAGGATCTTGCAGTGCCTTCATGTCAACATTATGAACATAATGTATATCATGTTGACA